AACCGTGCCTACCCCATTGCCGGCAATGGAAAAAAAGTCGTAATATGTCGCGACACGTCACGTGACGTTGCGAGTTTGACACCCCTGCTCTAATTCATTCTTAATATATTAATATAGAGAGTATATAATTATTTGATAAATGGTTTTTTACTTCCTAAATTGGAAACAATAATTATTGTAATTCCCAATCCCTATAAAATTTTGCAACAATTTTTTATTTCTCTTTTAAAGATTTTAAATTTTTATTCAACTAATTGCAAATAGACTCAGTAATTGGTGAATTGATTCATTTAGATCAGGGGTGTCAAGCAGGGGGCCCGTGGGCCGGATGCATCACACGCAGGCCACGCACACCCCAGCTCTGCAAAGGCAAAAAACTTCATGATATGTCACGTGACGTGATCAAGTTTGATACCTGTGATTTAGATCAAGATGTCATTTCTAATAATTTTTGTAAGTTTGACCATATTTTTAAAAATCAAGGACCATCAATAGCATTACTTCTTTGAATTCATGTAAAATATCTTTAACAAGAGATACCAAACAGAGCTATCTTTCATCACTATTTTTCCCTTTTTGCTTTGTTATGGAATAATTAATAATAGCTACAAGAAATATTCACAAAATTGAAAGTTTAGAAGTAAGGAGAGAAAAATATTGTTTGATTTTGTCTCTAGGGGCTATGAGTCTTGGGATATCCAAGCCACCTCAAGCAGTTTTTGAACTAACAAAATATTAAGAGGTAAAGTAAGGTGTGTAAAGTTTTGATCCATGATCCATAATACTCTCAGTTCTAGATAGGCTGCAGAACCAGAAATTCTATTGGCATAAGCCTATTAATGGATTGTAATTAGATAGCAAATCTAGCTATGCTCAGGTTGATTTAAACTGTAGGCCTGGTTTATGTTAAAAGATATGAGTATGGGCACGTTTTGATATTGCCTAGAGTTGCTCAGATAACAACATGGGTGATATCAAGTTCATTTACACTATTTCAAAATGTGGTTATGCTAAAAAGTGGATCAGAATGGTTGTATTTTTTTAAACTGTTATAAGACATAAATACAGTTGCTAATCTAAATCTAATAAAACATCTAAAAGACTTTCATTGCTTTGTTTAAATAATTAATTGCTTTAACAAAGCAACAAAACAGTTTTTTAAAGTATGTGCATGGCAGTTAGAAAATATTTTCCACTCACAACTATTATGGTTTTGGAACTTATGCAATATCTTTCTTTGAATTAGAAGCTTAATCCAGCATGGAGTTTTAATATAGAATATCTGTGCTACATTTGAATATGTCATAGTCATGAACTGAGTTTATGCTTCGGTCTTCCTGCCAGCAGGCATGACTTTGTGGTTTGTTCAGCATTGATTTCTGACTTGTGTCTTCTTAATATATTTGTATGTGCTTCCCCTATAATAATTTTGTGTGCAGAAAAAACTACATAAAAGAAGAATTCATTTACATTTTCATTTGAATCTAGATATGTTTTGATAGTATAAGCTATGCAGATTCTATGTAATAGTGTCTATATTTAGTAAGCATTGAAGCAGCTGCATACTGTTCCAGTCAATATTTCCTAACTGACTTTGAATATAATCAGTGCATAATTTTGGTTTTATAAGAATTGATGATATAAAATTGGTTAACAGATATTCTGATTGAAGCTGTAGAGCTTGGATGATATAGTTTTAACAACTAGGACCGAATAGCTGCATTCAAGGGAACCTGTTGATGTCCTTCTGTTTTTGAAAATTGTTCATATTATTTTGTTTAGATTTCTTAAATTGCAGTGTTCCATCTGTGTTAAAAACTGAAATTGCATAGTTAAGAGAAATGACTTTCTAAAATAGAACATACTTTTGTTATCTATTTGTTCCTTTCATTTCAGATTGAAAGTGCTGCTGATGAACTTAGAGTGCTTTGTATAATACAAGATACTACTAATGTTAAGACAGTGAATGAGCGCATCACATTGAATTTACCAGCTTCCACACCAGTAAAAAAACTATTTGAAGATATAGCCTCCAAAGTGGGCTATGTTAATGGAACCTTTGATTTAATTTGGGGAAATGGAGTCAGTGTTACTAATACGGTAAAAATAGAAATCTATTACTTTTAGACGTTTGGGGAGAATACTTTTAAATGGCTGATGTACAATATTTTTGTTCATTTTCATGGTATTTCTCATATTACCTTGTTTTCCCTTAATAATCCTTTTTTGTTCAAGATTGCCTTCTTTTGTTTTCTGTGGTTGGAAGTGATGTAGAAAAAGATTTTAATGCCATTTTTTCATAAAAACATAGCACAAAAGATAACAGATAAAATATTTATTTTAAATTATTCCTTTAATTCATTTTTATTTTCTGACTTAACTGTTTTCTGAAGATGACAACATCTGCCCCACATTTTTCTGATATTTTAAAAATATAATGCTTTGCATTAATGTGGGTATAAACACAACTAAAGTTTTATAATCCTGTAGTAGTTTTGCTTGAAGGAACAAGCAGTGCTTTTTGTTAGAAAGCATTTTTTAAATCAAGACATTAAAAATAGTTGGTAAACTCCACTGAAAATATCTATCTTTTAAAATGGGTTTCTGCCAATTATCTTCTTAAATTTACCTGTTTCGTACCCTGAGTCAGTCTATCTATGATATAATACCTGTAACATCTTTTACGAACTGATAAGAATGGAATAAAGATTTATTTATTCTATTCATTTTTATTTTTCCATTTTTAATAAGATCAAATTAATGTTCGTATTTAAAGCATAAAATAATTAGGAAATTGATGAGTTAAATGCTCTGACCTGTAGTTTTATTCTTTCACCTTCTCTTTAAAGGCCCTAGTTATACTGCACTTTCAATACCTGTGAACTTTATTTTTAGTATTTAAGTCCCAGTATGTTACCATTTAGGTCATTAGGAGCTTTATTAAATAATCATTCTAAATTAAATGTCAGGCAAGCATATATTGTAATAAATGTTTAAATTGTTATTAATTTTTGGCAGAATCTTGAGAAATACGGATCTTCTTTTAAGAAAAATATTGTGTTATCTGTCTCATTTATGCTTAACATAAAGAAAATTTGTTAATTGACAGTGATATTTCAGTGTATTTATATTACTTCTATAGAGTTAAAGGAAATATGCAGCTATTCTTCTAATACCTGAATTTGGAAAATGTATAATCACAATTCTATGAAATAAACAATTTTATTTTATTTACTGTAGACACCACTGGATCCTTTGAGTGATAAATCTGTTGTTGATGCTGGTTTTGAGCCTGGGAAAAAGAATTTTCTGCATTTGACAGATAAAGATGGAGAACAACCTCAAGTAGTAGTGGTAATGATATATTCATTTGCTGCTTCTGTGTCTTACCATGTTAAGATTTGTTTTTCTTTTTGTTCTGAGTGCTCTAATGTTCATCTTTGATTTTCATAGCCAGTAAGTAAATCCTTTCTAAGAAACAAAACTGATCTCGTTCTCAAACATGCACTGCAAAGCAGACATTTCTAATACAGTTGGAACAGTATTATGTGTCTTCAGACTGAGCTCGTTAAATAGGAGCTGCTTGTTCTGACCTTGAAACAGGAGTTTCCAGGGTCAGGATGTTCAAGAATTGCAATGTTGTGCACACTTTGGCTATGTACTGCATTTTAGAGCTAGACCGAGAACGTGCAATTCTGTTGGCACTCTCCTGGTACCTGTTTTGCCTCTTGAAATCTTAAGCTTAATCGCTCTGTTAAAAAAAATAACAATTTTTTTTATCTCATGTGTTTGGAGTTCTATAGATAGCAAAACTAGTATATGCACTTCTTGCAATTCTTACTTAGATTCACTCTACATTCAGCTCCCCATCTGCTTCTGTAATTCATTTCCTTTTTGTGTCTTTTGTGAAACTACCTGTAATACCAAGGATGGGATTCCTATTGTGAAATGTCTTGTGAGACCATGGACTTTCTTTAATAAGCTATTTTTCATTAGTTAACTGTAAACTTGAAGATACATTAATAGATGTGTCCAATGTTTTAGGAGGAGCCTGGTGGATCAGATGACCACAATCCTGATAGATTTATAGGTCCTCTACCAAGAGAAGGTTCAGTTGGCTGTTCCAATGATTACGTCAGTCAGAATTACTCCTATTCGTCAATTCTGAACAAATCAGAAACAGGTATGGAGATGTCTTTTGTCCTTTTCCACTGGATATAGCAATATTATAATACTATCTTAAAACAATTTATGATACTATCTTAAAACAATTTAAGTATAGGCAAAATGAGTTGTAAATCCCACTGTTCGTGTAAGATTTTGAATGAGGAATAAGGGTTGCATAACTGGTGGAACTATAGTTGCTGTCAGCTATAGCTGCAGATGTGTAAGGAGACAAAATAGCTCCTAGAGAGGGATGTGGTTTATTTTTTCTTCCTACAGATTGTTACAAGTAATCTTTAACTAATAGGGTAATAGTCCTTACTTAGAAGAAATCCATTTTCATACTCCCCTACGCAGTTCACCTTTACTGTTGTGAATCTAATAATTAGATTCTAATAACTAATACTCTTAAAAATGCAATCATACTAGAAGGAAATGAAATTTGCTAGTATCTAGTATTTTTTCTAAGTTGTTTACAATGCAAATAAAGATAAATAATTAATTAGCATTGAAATGACACATCATACTGTGCTAAATTACGAAGTGTTTAATCTCCTAATCCAGCACTGTTGTTTATTCAGATGTCCTGTTTAAGGCATGTTTTTGCTTATATGTTTCAGAATTCTGGAGAAATGTGTTTTTTGAATATCCAATAAAGCTTTAAAGTATTGTTGTTCTGAGTAGTTATTATTAGCAAAAATTTTGATTTTGAAAATTTGCAATAGAAATAATAATCAATATGCCCAATAATGCAATGTTAATTCTTCTTAAGTCTTAGTCTTATTGCTTTTTAAGATGAGCATTATTACTAACGTTATACTATTTTTTAGGATATGTGGGTCTAGTAAATCAGGCAATGACCTGTTATTTGAACAGTCTTCTACAAACTCTTTACATGACTCCTGAATTTAGAAATGCATTATATAGGTAAGTAGATGGATTTGATTAATTTTGTTATTGCCTTTTCTTGAGTTATGAAAGTCTTACTAAACACCTGAGAGACTATTGCAGTTACAAAATATTTTCCTACCTACATAGGTATTTGCAATCTATTCAGTGTTCTAATGTTAATTATTGTTGAGAATAGCTCCACATATATACACATACATACACACACACACACACACTTCTGGACTTAATCCATACTCTTTAAAGCAGAGTATGACATAATAATCATCATTAATTTTCAAGGCAAGGATTTCCTGGAACATACTTGTAAAACTATTTGATATGTCATTAGTTGTAGGACAGATGCAGTGATTGATAGTGAGACTTCCTTTGCAGTCTTTTTTTCCCCTTAAACTTAAATGTGGATTCATAGTAGAGTTTAAAATTACAGAGAAATAATAAAAATAGTTCATAACAAATAATTATAAAAACTAAAATCTTGTTGTTATAAAAGGATTTTAAAGGACTTACTACAGTCCTATTATAAATATTTCCTCTATTTTATAGTTCAGTTAAAATTGGAGTAGGTTCTTATTTGTTATCCACTATGTGATTATGTAGCTATATTTTGGAATGTAGGAATGGAGGTATGTCTATGGAGATTCTCAGTCATCCAGCTCATGGTTGTCCTAAAGGTGCTTTTTCAAAAACAAAGTCCAGTTGCCTTTTGAAAAAGCACCTTTGGGAATGTAGGTAGTGTTAACTTTTGCAAGAATATATCTTAAGAGTGCAGTATGATTTGATGAATGATGGCATGTCATAATATTTATACTAGAAAATGTTCTGAGTATGGAATGGGGATTATCTCTTTTAAAAAGTTTTAATATTGGGCTGTAAAGATCATATATTTGGTCTTTAGCTTTTTTCAAATTGTATCTTGAAGAAATATTTCCATATCAACTTTCCTTTCAGATATTGTTTTTTACTACAAATGAATGTTAGGAACATTTCATTTTCAACAGGATGCTCTAAAATAATTTATTTTTTCTGTTGGTACTAATGTTTGTATTTTTTTAATAGATGGGAATTTGAAGACTCTGAGGAAGATCCAGTAACAAGCATCCCTTATCAGCTTCAAAGATTGTTTGTTTTATTGCAGACCAGCAAAAAGAGAGCAATTGAAACTACAGATGTTACAAGAAGCTTTGGATGGGATAGTAGTGAGGGTAATGATAACCAAATACTTGGTTAAATTATAATTATATTAGGACATATATTGACTGACGTTGTCTGTGTTCTGATTATCAGTTTTGTACTTGGTCAGGATATGCATGATTCCTACTTGGTCACATATTAGCATTCCTGTATAACTGGAGTAAGAAAAAAGCCACATATCTATTACGCTGTCATATCTCAAAAATCTCTGATTAATAGCATTCAAAAAGTATCAATAGCTTAAAACTGGCTTCTGCATTTACCCTTATTTACATAGCTGTTGAGAATCGACCAAATTTAATAAAATTTAATAAATTATTATTACAAACTATTAGCCAAAATTCTCAGTTTACAATAACAGAATAATAAAAGTATAGGAAGATAATTTATAGTTTAATATTAGAAAAGATTACTTGACAGTAAGAGTTGTCCAAGAATAGACTATCAAAATGGTGGACGTTTACTTTCTGCAAGCAGATTGGAAGACATTTCTTGAGGATGGTTTAGTATGCTTTCCTGCATTAAGCAGAGTTGATGGCCTAATTTCTTGGTTCTATTATTTAGTTTGCTTAAAGTTCTGTACATCATGACAAAGATGTTAAACTACAGTTGTAAATTGCTGTTGTTTTTTAAAAAAATAATGTTTGAAAATAATTTTGAGGTCAGCCAAATGAGATAGGTAGAGAATTTTCAGCAGTAAAATAAATTTAGTGTAATGTGCTTTTGTAACCGGGCTAACAAATTGCTGTGATGGGATGTATGCCTTATTAATTAAATAAGGTCACTTTTGTTTTACAATAGCGTGGCAGCAGCACGATGTGCAGGAACTCTGTAGAGTCATGTTTGATGCTTTGGAACAAAAATGGAAACAAACGGAGCAGGTATAATATTTTTGGGTTTGTTCTTGAGATTACAAGAAATAACAAATAATTAGAATAGTTAATAAAACAGTGCTATACTAATCCTAGATTTAAAGGCTAGTTTTAAACATTGAGGTGAAATGGAAAAATGGTGCATTGTTTACCCAGAACTGTTGAAATTTGAGGAATTCATTTCGTATGCATTTTATATGAAGTGTCATTGTTTTGCAATATAATACTCTGAGAGGCATCTTTAAGTGGATTGTAGTCTCTTTCCATCAAGAGAAAGGAGGAGTTATGTGATCCTTCTGGAACTTGTATCTTACTTACTTTCTTCAAGTTGAAGACTCCTGGTAAAATCTCCTTTACTCAGGAGCCATCCTAATTCTTTTGAGGTTATCTTTTTTTCCCTCACAGCCTTTGAAATTCAGTCTATCTTGTAAAAAAGATATAAACATATATAAAAAGAACTTAGTTATTCCTTTTTTTCTTTTTGCCAAAAGCTGCAACTTGCTGCTTCCAGACTTGTTCCTATGGGTCTCATAGTGCTTCTGTATATATATGTCTTAAGTAACTAGAGACCTCCCCCATCCACTACCATCAGTTTTCAGATGTGAAATCTCAATACTTAATGTGAAAGCAAGTATTGTTGCTGGAGAAACAATTGATAACATCAGTTGAGCACTAATGGGCAATTCAATTCAGTTGTGATATTGCTCACAGAAACCTCTGGTGGTCTATGCTATTCAGCACTGTCTCCATCATGCTGTGCTTCAAATAGATGATTTCCATTTAACATATTTATACTTCTATAAATGCAAAATAATGTCAAAGCTGTTGTCCAAAGGAGATCTTGCAATATCTTCTACCTGATCTTAATCATAATATGGACTCCTTGCACAAAGTGGTCTTTGATCTTTAATTAAAGGTGTCTGAACCAGTCAGTAGACTGATATTTGGCTACTTTGCAGAAGTTCCTTAAAAAGCTACAGTATTACCTGTGAGTCCTTTATATTCATGAAATCTGTATACAGGTAGTTCTTGACTTACAACCATTTAGCTACTATTCAAAGTTACAACATCACTGAAAAAAGTGACTGGAGACGAGTCTAGATTCTTTGTGGCAATTCAGCATTGAATCTGGATCACATGACTCCTGCTTTTCCCTTTTCCATTTTTGTATATATCCATTATGCCAATCTTTACTAATTGTCCACTGTTTCTTGTCCAGCTCAAGAATGTACCAGAGAATATTTTGAAATGTATATATTTGAGTAAAATATATTTGCATATGTATTTCAAGTAAAAGTACATTAAAATCATTTTATATATGAATATGAACTGTAAAAAAGGACTTAAAATGTGAACACCATATGTATTCATGAATATATATGAAATTGATATGGGCTTTCAGGGGAATTAGGCATTTATTTTTAATTAGAATGGAAATAAGCAGAATTCTCATTAAACATGATTAAGACAAATTGGATAAATAAATATCTGCCATGAAATTTGTGTTCAATTCTATTTTCACTTTAAAAAGTAACTGAAAATAGGCTGATATAATGAATAGCAGAGCAATAGCTCTGAATTTTAAATATATTCTATTTTTTTATTTTTTTAGTTTAAAGAATGCTATTAATAGGATGAAAGGCACAATTTAGAATACATATCCTGAACTACTATTATAAAGTATTTTTTTGCAGTTTAGAATATGTTAGCCAGCTAAATTTAAATTCTTCAGGAAATAACGCTTCATGAAGGTTAACAAATTTGTTTTTGGAATATTGAAATATTTTTTTCCTTAAATGCAGGCTGATCTCATAAATCAGCTCTACCAAGGCAAGCTGAAGGACTATGTAAGATGCCTGGAATGTGGCTATGAGAGCTGGAGAATTGATACTTACCTGGATATTCCATTGGTTATTCGACCTTATGGCGCCAATCAGGCCTTTGCTAGTGTGGTGTGTATGTTAAACTGAATGCTACTGCGTTTTTCTATATAATAATGCCACAGTACTGTCACTTCTTTAAAGGTAAGCATCATCCTGGAAACTCCATCTTGGGTTGTCCGTCTTTGTGCAGTAGACCAGCTAGCAAGCTTTAGAACGCCCTTCAATGAGTTCTACTAGTGCATGTTTGGGAAAAGGAAAAGCAGTCAATTAACATGTGAAATCTTAACATTCTAGATGCAATAAAACAACACATGTTCTGCCTTTCTTGTAGAAAAATGTACTTTTGAAACGTATTATGGGGTTTATGTGAATTAATTATTTTGAAACTATTGGTAAATATTACAGCAAATAGGAAAGGAATTCCTATTTGGAATTCCAGATAGGCCTTTGATTGGATTAGGGAAAGATAACTTTAAATTGGCAGTATTAAGATGCCTCTGGAATATTCACTAAAGTCCCAATAAACTATTGCGCATGGAGTTTGAGACCAAATTCTCTCTGACTGAACCTATATTGCCAAATCAGTAATTGAGCACTATCTACTTCCCTCCAACCTCTCATACTAGCCATCTTGCTTTATTGAGGATGCTTAGATTGGGATAACCAGTGATCATCTGTTTATAAGGGCGACTCATACTGACTAATATAAGTGAGACGGGAAGGATTACTTTGAATTAAAAAGACATGCTGATCACTCCAGTTTTCTTAACTACCTTCCCATCATGGCACTATGCAGGCAACAAAGGGTGGATTTTTTAAAAAAAAAAAACCTCATGGTTCTTTGAATCAACCTGATTCCTGTTGAAAACATGGCCAGATCCATACAGTTTTCTGTCAGTATTTTCAGAAGTTTGCCATTCCATTTTTCCTAGAGCTGAGAAAGAGTGATTGGCCAAAGTCATTAGATGTCTTTGTCTCCAAGAGAGCTGGTACACTTCCCTATCTGCCTTTCTGAATTGTAAAATTTTAATGATATTCCTAAATTGATGCTTTTTACGGTGTATAACTTAAATTTGATTTTTTTTTACCAATAGAGTTTGTATGGTTAAGGTTTCAAAACAAGGCTTTATAGACAGCTTTAAAAACAAGGGAATTAAATTAGTATTTAAATGATTACACTGATTTCAGTGATATAGTCTATTGAACAAATAAATCCAAAATTTCTTTAGTTGTCTGATCTTCCCGTTGCATTTATTTTATTTTTTTAAAAAACAAGAGTGTATATTTTATAATCTTAGTTAAGATACAAGATAGGTATATACAGGCATAGATGCTTATTAACGTGTTCTAGTAGGTTCATGTTACCCAGACTTTTTTTTTCAAGAATTTCAATCTAAGCAAATGCTAACTTCTTGCCTAATTAGGCTTTTGCTCCTAGCTGATCTTGAACAGTTAGACAGTTACAGCTCCTTTAAAATAGAGTTACTATTTTAAAGACAATGTTAGGCCTAGCCAAAACATGATGTAAAACAGCGGCTCCCAACCTTTTCTATACCCTGCACCCCTAGAACGCTTCTGATGTATTCTTGTACCCCTTACAAAAGTTCGAAATAACGGCAACAAATTATGCATATACACTATAATTTTGAAAACTCAAGTTTTTGCACCCCCTGGAATATCGTTTTGCACCCATAGGGTGCAAGTACCCCCGGTTGGGAACCCCTGACGTAAAACAATCCAGCCAAAGTTTAGTTCTTTATTTGCGCATACCATATAGAAAGAATCTTGCAGGCTGAACCTAAACTATTCTACCCTAATGAATATGCACTGGGAGATTCATTTAGGCAGATTCCATGCCAGACGACCAAGAGATAGCAAACGTGTAAGCTAGACAGGAAATAGAAAAATATCCTTGAAGATGATAAAGGCAATCATTTCTGTACTGTTGCCAAGAAAATGACACTAGTCCATGATAACACCAGAAATCAAGGTCACCTTGAAGTAATCTTTACTAACTAATCAGTTGTTAGATAGCCAGTGGAGTGCGATAATCTTTCTGATTTTAAATAAACGGTATGTAGAAACCTTTATGCTTTATTAAGTTTGATATGCTATGCAACTTAGCAGATGCTACATTTTTATGTATATAACACCACTATAAAATATTCTTATAAATAGGATATTTAGGCCTTCATATTTTGATTAGTTTGTTTTTAATGGAAAATTCTCTTGGTTAATGGGAGCTAGTTGGATAAAAAGCTCTGTTGGTGTTGTCTTTCTATTGGTAAAATATTAAGGGCTGGCACCTCGACAAAGAAGCAGTTTTGTTAAATAACATAGGGTTCTTTTTTTTCTATATATATTCTAACTAAGGGAAAAAAATCCTGATATCAAATACCTTACAGATAGTCCTCGACTTATGACCATTTGAGGTTTTGGTGGCGCTGAATGAATTTAAAATAGGTCCCTGAAGTTATGGCCATTGTAGCACCTCTGCAAAATTTGGGCACTTGGCAGCATGCCCACAGTTAAAATCGCAGGAGGCCCCCCCCATACTTATTAGTTCCTTGTAGTCAGCAGCCCCTGCTGCCCAGCCAGCCTTCACCATCTTCTTGCTGTCTTTGCTGGCCAAGTATGTCCTTTGCTGCTGGCTACACAAGGTCGCACATGGCTGTTTCCTCACAAGACCTGGGGAAGATATCCTCCTGTGGCCAATAGTTGCCTCACAAAGGGCCAGGCTGGACAAATCTTGTCAGCATCAGGAGCAAGAAGATGGCTAAGATCAGCTGGGGCTTTTCTGCTTGCTGCCCCGCAAGACGGGAGTAGGGCAGCCAAAGGAACAGAGATGGGGGGGGAGATAGGCAGGTGGCGGGATTTGAAGATGAGGCACTTACCAAGGCTCAGGACTAGGAGGGACCACACCCAGAATAGCTTGGATTGGAGTGGGTACTCACTTAACAACCCACAATTTTCAGTTAACGATGGCAGCCAGGAGTAGTGGGATTTCTGTTACTAAGCAGTGAGGTCACATGACATCGCACTTTTATTACTGCATTGTTAGCGACAGAAATTCCACTCCCAATTGTGGTTATAAGTTGAGGAGTACCTGTTTTATTCCTGTTCAGAGAGTATTGCCTATTTTCCTTACAATTATCCGAACATGAGACTCAATATTATGTGCTGCTTTACCTACTGTGTTAATAATCGATTCGTCTGAAATATTAGATTTTTTCCTATATTAGATTGCAAAGCTGATCCTCTATTTAGAAAAATATTTTAGTTGTAGTTTTCAGTATTTGGGAACTATGGAGGATACTTGCTTTTAGAGAAAGGAAAAGTCACCTGTTTCTAAATGGATTTCTCTGAAGGTAATATCCTCCATTGATCCTCCATTAAAAAGGGTAAATAAGAATTTGACTCAGAACAAAATAATCATAATGGGATCGACACATGCGCTAATAGGGCTTGTGGAAGGGAATGTAAAGCTCTTTTGAACTTGCTAGTGTGTTTCTGAGGGGTCTTGCCACAGACGTCACTATCCAAAATAGAGGATCTATGGAGGATACTACCTTGAAAGAACTCTAGTTACAGGTAAGTGATTTTCTATTTTTAAAATGTAATGAATGCTACTAATCTGTGTTGCCCTTTCCCAAAAGCCAATCTGGTCACTGTTTCTAATTGTCATCATAAATATTTACAATTTGTAGTAGTATTTTAAAGGAATTTTTTTATAATTCATTTTATTTATTTATTTAGTCAGTTTCCTGCTGACTCTTCAAAATATATCTTGGGGTTTTTTTTAACTCTGATCCCCAAGGGCCCATGTACTCATAAAATGGAATAATTTGATACCTGTCTTTAAGACTGCTGACAAGAACCAGACTCAAGGCTCTTTGCAGACTTTGCATTGCTGCTTTGTAGCTAAAAAAATAAAATAAAACAATGACATAAACCATAAAACTCATCTTCGGTCCCCCTGAGATCTTTAGAAACCACATTTGAACCATTTTGATGTTTTACACAAAATTCCAAATGTGATGTCTGAAATTGCATTCTGCTATATGAAATGCCAATGAAAACTGCTCAAGGAAGAACATACAGTAGTGGCCAAAATGGTGGAAACCTTTTGGGAAAAGTATATTTTTGAGGTTTGATGGCTAATTACACCACCTTTGTTTGGAGTAGTACCATAAAATTATATATCAGTGGAAAGATAATTTAACCAAGAATGTAATGCAACATAGTTTGTTCAATTATCTGTACTGTATTCTATGAAAAGCTATAACCAAATAACCAGAAAAGGGAAGCACAACTTGCTTAGGTTGATATCAGATAGCTTTCCTTCATCTGATTGTAGCCAATGAGCATGAGTGTTTAGAGAGCCAGTCAGGTGTCATCTTGTTTTGGCAATGAGCCAATCAGATCACAGTAGGATTCAGTTATTGATGTCATGTATTGAAGCTGAGAAGAGGACATTTGTCAGTGTGTTATGTGATCGCTATCAAGTTGGTTGGGGTTTTTTTTTCTTTCATTTAGTGAGCTTGTAAAATATAATAAAATTAAAGTAATGATGCAAAGAGTTGACTGGTTGCCCAGAAAGCGATGTAAAATAGCATTATTAAGTGAACAAGGCTACAGTTATAAAGAAATTAGAAGAAAAATTGGTGGAAACTTAACCAAAGGTGGCATTTCTACAGTACACTTTTCCAAAAGGTTTCCACACTTTTGGCCACTACTATATATTACCATATTTTTTTCTTTTAGTTCTAGGTTGTTTGAAAATGGTCCAACAAAGTTGAATGTGGAAAAAAAATTAAACCCCATTCAGATGCAAGCTCAGGCATCAGTTTTCCCCATCACAGACTGCAAATTGTATTAAACACATGAGGAATTGCAAATAATATTCTAAAAATGTAGCCTAAGCCATCTTTAATGAGCCAGAACCCTTGTAAAATATATCTGGCAGTCATTCAGCAACTGATCATTATTTTTGCCTTGAATACCTTAGCTGCAAAAGAAATACAGTAAATTTTTTTCTGTTTTAAAATAGTAGCTCTGCTGCATTAAAT